TTTTCCACAGTTATACCTTCATTTTTTTTTTTTTTTATGCCCTTGAGTATAGTCATTCCCTTCTTCAGTTCTTTGTGTTGCTTCCAGAACTCTCTGAAGGGCTGGTTTTGTGGAGATGAATTCCTTCAGCCTATTTATGTCATGAAGACTTTTCTTTTGAGGGAGGTCTTTTATGAGAGGGTCTCCCTATAGCCCCAGCTGGCCTGGAACTATGTAGACCAGGTTGGCCTTGAACTCACAGAGATCCGCCTGCCTCTACTTGTTGAGTGTTGGGATCAAAGGTGTGCATAGTCACACCGGCTTGATTTATTTTTATTGTATGTGTATGAGGAGTCTTTTGCTGCCATGTAAGTATTGCCCATGTCCACAGAGGTCAGTGAGGGCGTTGGATACCCTGGAACTGGAGTTATGAATAGTTAATTGTCATGTGGGTACTGGGAACAGAACCCTCTGCAAGACCCAGTGCTCTTAACTGCTTAACTCCAGCCCCTTCTCTACTTTTTTCATTCTTGGAAATGAGTCTAAGTAAAAAACACTTTAAAATAGTGTACCTAAGAAAAACTTGGAAGTTTCATTAAAATGGCCTGTGGTGATTTCAGGTTTAGAGTGAGGAAGTAATTATATACAAACATATGCTTATCTGTACATACAGATGCTACATGGCCACACTCCAACACATATGTATTAATCAAATCTCTGGACGAGGGTGGCAAGATGGCTCAGTAGGTAAAAGCATTTGCATGTAAGCCTGACAACCTGAGTCTGATCCCTGGAACTCACAGTGGAAGACAGAATCGACTCCCAGAAGTTGTTCTCTGATCTCCACACATGTCCATCATGGCCTGTGTATGTCCATACTCACACGATAAAAATAGAATTTAAAAGCCCCTGGAATGATGCAGAAGGAACCAGTAAGTAGTACCTGCTTATACGTTGGGAGACAAAAGGAGAGCTGGGAGCTGAAAGTGGAGGCATACTGTTTCAGCAGTTAGCACGGGGAGAGCAACTGTGCCACCACTGACCTTTGAGTTACACTAACACTGCACCTCTAGCAGAGTAGGTTCTAAACAACTGTGCTAAGATCAAGTGCTAAAAGCCAACATGCTGAGTGAATTCCTAGAGGCCTGGTACCAGCAGAGTTGCTGACAGAATGGTGTAAGAACTGCCAATGTGATGTTTCTCAGAAAACTCTTCATCTGGTATGCAATGAAAACTGGGTGAACAGCTCCTTAGCAGAACATAACATGAAAATGTTTTCTGTAACAGTGAACCCAAAGTCATCTTCAAAATTTCTACCTTTGGTCTTTTAATGAAGACAAATTTTTCTTTTCTTTTCTTTTCTTTTCTTTTCTTTTCTTTTCTTTTCTTTTCTTTTCTTTTCTTTTCTTTTCTTTTCTTTTCTTTTCTTTTCTTTTCTTTTCTTTTCTTTTCTTTTCTTTTCTTTTCTTTTCTTTTCTTTTCTTTTCTTTTCTTTTCTTTTCTTTTCTTTTCTTTTCTTTTCTTTTCTTTTCTTTTCTTTTCTTTTCTTTTCTTTTCTTTTCTTTTCTTTTGAGGCAAGGTCTCCCTATAATCCCCAGCTGACCTGGAACTCTATGTAGACCAGGCTGGCCTGGAACTCTTAGAGATCCTCCTGCTTCCACCTCCCCAGTGCTGTGATTAAAGGCGTGTGCCACCACGCCTGGCTCTTATTTTTTTTAATTTATGTGTATGAGTGTATTGCCTGCATGTATGTGAGTGCACGCATGTCCTGCAATGCCGCAGAGCAGAAGAGGGCTTTGGATTCCCCTGAACTGGAGTTAAGGGCAGTTTGTAGCCGCCACATGGGTGCTGGTAATCAAACCTAGGTCTTCTGTAAGAGCAGTCAGTGACCTTAACTGCTGAGCCATCTCTCCAGCCCTGACAAATTTATTTCTGAAAAAACATTATCTGGAGAAAAATTAAATGGCAAAATGAGGCTCAACTTTCTTTTTTGAGGGGTATGGGGGTCTTTTTGAGACAAGCCACAGCTGGCTTAGATTCACTATGGAGACCAGCCTGGCCTCGAACTCACAGAGATCCACCTGCCTCTGCCTCTCAAGTGCTGGGACTAAAGGCATGCATCACCATGCCTGGAAAGGCTCAACTTTCTAAGTATCTAATACACACAATTTTATTAAGCCCAAGGAAACACTGTATTAGGAACTTAATTAGCAATTTTTTGCACAATGTCTTCTTAGCCAAGAAATGCTCCCCACTTCTAATTACTGAGTACTTTAAATTAGAAACAAAGCTTTTTACCTTAAGAGTTTCAAGTACATCATGTTCTTTGGCAAGGACGCTGCCAATGATTCCCAAAATACTGACCACATTCACTCTAACCCCGATGTTACTACTCTGAATAGCTGCTTTGCACAGTGTCATCAGCTGCTCGGGGGTCATGCACTGTTGAGAGAGAAGAAATACTTTCAGGCATTTATTTATCTCATACATATGTGTGGTATGTGTGTACATGTATGTGTGTGGGCACACATGTGCAGGTATATGTGCACCTATGTATATGATGTGTGTGTGAGGGCCCAGAGTTAATGTTGGGAGTTTTCCTCGATTACTCTACATTATTCATTGAAGCAACATCTCTCTGTTGAACTCAGGGCTTGCCAGTGCAGCTAGTTTGGTCAGCCAGCGTGCTTCAGGGATCCCACTCTGTCTTCAGAGCTCTGGAGTTACAGGTAAGCTGCTCATCCACCATGCATTCACATGGGCTCTGGGAATTCAAACTCCAGAGGTCACATTACATGGCAAGTACTTCAACCATTGAGCCATCTACCCAGCACTTAAGTTTTAAGCAGGAAAATTACAACTTGAATCTGTGACATTTTGTTTAGCAAAAACCAATCAGAAACTTGTGGAGTTTGAGGCTAGGGTATAACTGAGTGGTGCAGCACTTGTACCAAGCCCTAGATTATATCCCCAGTACCGAAAACAAGAAAAAGGAAGAAAAAAACCAAGGGTTCAGACATAAGAGTCCACACCTGTGGATAGGAGCCAACCTAAAGGCATGTCTACTAATATGGATTAATTTTTGCATCAAAAAGAATAACTAGCCTGCTGTGGTGGCCAAGTCCACAGACCCACACATAATAGTAACACTTGGGAGGGGGGCAATAGGATCACTAGTTCAAGACAGCCTGGGCTACACAATGAAACCCGTCTCAAAATAAATAAATGTATATAAAGCCATGAGCTCACAATGAGACTAAAAAGGAAGCAGTGTGAGAGCCTAGATTCAGTCCCAGCACTGAACAGACAAATGAACACAACACAGAAGGAAGGCAGGAGGAAAGTGCTGGTTGTGTTTAAAGATTTCTGGACATCCACCTGAGATAAAGAATGAGATATAAACGGATACCAAAATTACTAAATCATGCATGAGACAAAGTTTTCATTTATAGAAGATGCCTAGCTAATGGTATTGCACAAGGAAAGACAAAGCTGACTATCTGCAGCGTGCAGCCTCACCAAAGGACCCAGGCAGCTTTGATTACTGTCTGCTAAAACAATGAAGTGAGCCCAATAAAAACTTGATGTAACACAATCTGCGACTTAAAGTATGAAACATATACAGCAATATGAATTTTTCTTGCAAAAAATTCTGCACCTGAGACTGATTAGAGCTAGGCCTTAATAGAGGAGTTGGAGAGTATTACACAGTATCATCAGATATATAGTCCGAAGCTGACAATGGGAACATAAAAATAGTTTCTACCAGGAATAAATGGTGAAAGGAAAAAGAGGGTGGATAAGGAAAATGATAGCTTAAAAGTTATTAAGACGATGAATATACAAAAACCACCAAAATGTGTACTTCAATTGAATGAACTGTATGGTATATGAAATCATATCTCCATAAAGGTATTAAGAAAAAAGAGCTTTCTAGGCTCAGGCCTAGGTCACGGCAACATGTGTAAACGCACCAAGAAGGTAGGGATTATGGGTAAATATGGAACCTGCTATGTATGGAGCCTCCCTCCCGGAAACGGTGAAGGAAATTGAAATCAGCCAGCACACCAAGTATACTTGCTCCTTCTGGCAAGACCAAGATGAAGAGACAGGCTGTTGGCATCTGGCACTCTGGTTCCTGTATGAAAACAGCGGCCGGTGGAGCCTGGACCTATGAGACTACTTCTGCCGGAAACAGTTAAGTCTGCCGCCAGAAGACTGAAGGAACTGAAAGACCAAGTAGAAGCACTGCCATCTGGGACATCCCTGGCCACAGTAAATGGCTAATTTATGAAACAACCAAAAAAAAAAGAATGACGGGATGTGAGAAATGGCTCAGCGGTTAAGAGCACTGGATGCTCTTGCAGAAGACTCAGGTTCAAGTCCCAGCACCCATATGGTGGATAACAACTGCCTATAACTCTAGTTGCAGGGGATCCAATGCTCTCTTCTGACCTCTGAGGGCACTGCATGACATAGGTGCATGCATCATGTAGGCAATACACTCATATACATAAAATTTAAAAACTATGTATTAGGGGCTGGAGAGATGGCTCAGCGGTTAAGAGCACTGACTGCTCTTGCAGAGGACCTGGGTTCGATTTCCGGCACCCACATGGTGGCTATGAACTGTCCTTAACTCCAGTTCCAGGGGAATCCGAAGCTCTTTTCTGACCTCCACGGCATTGCACGACACGGGTGCACTCACATACATGAGGGCAATACACTAATACACATAAAATAAAATATTATGTATAAAAACTAAAAATTATATATTAAAAAAAAGAATGAAAAGAAAAGATATCAACCTTGCTTAGATAATTTGAGGGTTTTTATGGTTTTGTTTTTGTTCTTTTTGAGACAGGGTCTCCCTGTAGTAGGGCTAGTCTGGAAGTAAGTAGACCAGGCTGGACTTGAACTCACAAAGATCTGCCTGCCTTTCCCTCTGCTGGGGTTAAAGGTGTGGACCACCATGCCCAGCAATAATTTGAGTCTTTTAATTAAAAAAAAAAAAAATCTGCTGGGTATGGTGACACACATATTTAATCCCAGCATTTAGGAGGCATAGTCTGGCCAATTTCTGTGCATTTGTGGCCAGCCTGGTCTAAACAGTGAAACCCTGTCTCAAAAAATATATATATAAAAATATATTATGGGGCTGAAGAGATGGTTTAGCAATCAAGAGCACTGGCTGCTCTTACAGAGGACCTGGGTTCGATTCCCAGCACCCACCTGGCAGTTAACAACTGTTATAACTCCAGTTTCAGGGGATCCGACAGCCTCTTCTAACCTCCACAGGCATTGCACAACACAGGTGCACTTATACATATGCAGACAACACACTAATACACATAATAAAATATATATTTTTTAAATGTTATTATTGTGCACGCCCATAATTATGTGTGGGAACATGTGCCACAGTGCACACATGGAGATCAGAGGACGACTCTGTGGAGTTAGTTGGCTCTGTCCTTGTGCACATGCTCATGGCTCCAGTGACTGAGTGCAGGTTACCAGACTTGGCAGAAGGCACCTTTACCTGAGCTTTCCCACCAATCTCACTTTTTTTTGTTGGTCTTTTTTGAGACAGGGTCTCCCTGTAGCCTCAGCTGTCCTGGAACTCACTATGTAGACCACGCTGGCCTTGAACTCACAGAGATCTGCCTGCCTCTGCCTCCCAAGCACTGGGACTAAAGGTGTGTGCCACCATGCCCGGCTTCCAATCTGACTTTTTATTTTTTAAGACACCATCCCACACTGCAGCACAGGCTGGCCTCAGACTCAAAGCAGTCCTCTGCCTCATCCTCCCCAGTACTGAGATCACAGGTGTGTGATACTAGACCCAGTTTAAATTCAGATTTGAATAAATTAATTAGTAAAAGACAGTATTGGGTGAACTGAGGAAAATGAACTGTAAATCAAATAAGAATTATCTGATAATTTTTGTATGTAGAGTAATGATATTGAGATTAGGCTTTTTAAAAAATTTTTTCTGCCAGACATAATCAATTGTTTGTTGTTGTTACTTTACTTTCCTTTTTTTGATACAGGGTCTCCTGTAGCCTCTGCCTCCCTAGTGCTGGGATTTAAAGGCCTGTGCCAGCACACCGAGTATAATCAAATTATTTATTGATAAAATGATGTGATTTGCCTTAAAATACTTGACAAGAATAAGAATGCAGGAAGACCATCGAAATAAGGAGGAAGAGATGCTCTAACTGGTTAGTCTGGTGTTGGTGTACATGGGCTCCCAGAACTGCCTCTGCTTTTAGCAATGCTTGGAACTCTCTTAACAAAAAGTAACAAGTAGAAATGATAAGGGGAGGGGGAGAGGAGGGAGGGAGAGAGAGAGAGAGAGAGAGAGAGAACATGCTTGCTAGCTTGTCATAACATATTTGAAGACCAGCAAATTCGGAGAAATGAGTGATGCTGCCGCAGAAGCAGCTATGGCACTGAAGGAGGCAGAGGGCAGAGCTTATTCTGTGACTTCTATTGCCTTTTCATAAAGATCATGTAACAGGTATTTTTTAAAAAACTGCTAAGTAATATGCTTCTAAAATACAGACTCTTGGAGCTGGAGAGATGGCTCAGCTGTTAAGAACACTGACTGTTCTTGCAGAAGACCCAGGTTCAAATCCCAGCACCCACATGACAGCTAACAACTGTCTGTAACTCCAGTTCCAGGGGATCTGACAGCCTCTTCTGCCCTCCGCACGACATGGGTGCACTTACCTACATGCAGACAATACACGCATACGCATAAAATTAAAAATTAAAAAAATATACTCTTCAGGTTTCATACAAGAAGTTTACAGTGTCTTACCTGTGGAATGTTCTTGGATGCCATTGTTTGCAAAAGGGCCCTCAAAGCACTACTTATGGCTTCTAGAAAATCAGCATGCTTAGCAAAATCTAAAATACAAAAAGTTTCCACAAAACAAAAAAAGGAAGTTATAAGTTTTCTCCTTCTCCAAGACAAACTAGTTTGTAGGAAAAAAGGATCAAAACAAAGTACAGCAAGTGTCAGTATGGGTTATTGTTAACAAAGCATTCTTGCTATTTAAGCGAATGTGGACTCTACAGTGCCTGTTCACTGTGCAAGTGAATCTAAAAGACGACTGTGGTAGGGAGAGTCACAGCAAGAAACGCCCTGCAGGGGTTCTGACTTTAGGAGCTGGGTTTTCACTGGACTGACACTTGGCAGAGGATAGCACTGAGTCAGTGGTTTTGGATGGGTTTCATCTCTCTTGGGTCTCCATTATGTGGTCTCTATCATGGTGGTCTCCTCCATCATGGAGCTGGTTGACCTCTGATGGAATCATCCTACACATCAGCACTTAATAACACAAGCCCACCGCCTGACGCCTCCCTGCTCCAATCCCAATCTTTTCCCATTGTACTTTCTCACACAGGACAAAAAGAAGAGCAGAAATAAGCCACTGAGTTTGTAGTCACAGGCAAGGCTGAATGAGGGTCACCCAGGTCAAACAACTCCCTGACCCCTTTTAAGGTGGGGAAAGGTGACTCATTTGGTATGGTAGGGTCATAATTTCTAAAAATGCACAGCAATTATTTCCGGTCCCACCAGTTCCACCATCTTCCGTACCATGCCATTTCTCAAAACAAGTGGAGTCTGATCTCTGCTTCTTAAATGTGGGTGTAACTTTGTGACTTCTTCAACCAAATGAACAAATGAATGACAGCCGAGGTCATAAAAGGCAGTATGACTTCCAGCTGACTCAGAAGCGTGTGCTTTTTCCTTCTGACTCTTACCCTTGGAACTCAACTATCATGTTATGAGGAAGCGCATATGAAAAGGTCACTAGGGAGTGTTCTGCCTGATGACGCCAGTGCCAAGTGCTCAATGCTGAGTGAATAAAATCTCAGCTGATTCTGGTTCAGAGCCTTCAACTTTTCCAGCAGAGACCCAAGACTAGTTCAAGATTACACCTCAGTAGTAGTGACATTCTGGCCCAGATCAGATCATTCTGTGCATGTGTATGTGTATACAGGGAGTATATTCCTGTGCAGGATGTATCTCAGCATCCCTAAGGTCTATCTTGTACATATCAGTAGCAACCTCCAAAGCATAACAGCTGAAAATGCCTTCAGACATTGCTAAATATCCTCCAGGGGTAGAAGTAAAATTACCCCTAGTGGAGAATCACTACCCTAACATCATGGAATGGAGACAAACCATCTTTAACATCCTGTCTAAATGCTGATCTGAGAAACTGTAAGAATACTAACTAGTGACTGTTTTGTCTTGAGATGGGGTATCACTATGGTGCTCAGGCTGGTTTAGAACTCCTGGGCTCAAACAATTTTTCTGCTTCAGTCTCCTAAGCAGACTCCAAGTGTACCACATGACATCTAGCCTATTGTTTTAGGGCATATAGTTTTGGGCTGAGCTCTTAAGTAGCAACAGGTGCTATGGCTTATTGCCTATTGGTGCCTAAGACTTTGCCCAGTTAGGATACCACCTTTTTAGGTTACCTGGGAAACCCTAAGACAGGCAGCTCTGCATAATCTTTTTCTTGAGACAGCACTAGCTATCCTTAAAAACTGCCATATTGGCTCTGAAATATACATAATGTTTGAAAAATGAAATGTACGAACTGTACATAAAACAATTAAGCCACATGTATTGTAAAAAACTAAACAGAGCCGGGCGTGGTGGCGCACGCCTTTAATCCCAGCACTCGGGAGGCGGAGGCAGGCGGATATCTGTGAGTTCAAGGCCAGCCTGGTCTACATAGTGAGTTCCAGGACAGCTGGGGCTACAGGGAGACCCTGTCTCAAAAAAAGA